ATGACTGTTCCACTGATATCTGAAGAACCACTCATTGGATTTTGATGAAACTTGACACATGGATGCTCTGAACTAATGCGCAGATTTGATTAGTTTTGGGTAAAAAGCCATGAATATTAATTAACTAATTTGCATGATAATTAACTGATTTAAGCTGTTCCATGACTGTTCCACTGATATTTGAAGAACCACTCATTGGATTTTGATGAAACTTGGCACATGGATGCTCTGAACTAATGCGCAGATTTGATTAGTTTTGGGTAAAAATCAGTTTATATTAATTACCTAATTTGCATAATGATTAACCAATTTTCGGCTTTTCCACTGATATCTCAAGTACTAATCATAACATTTCAATAAAACTTGGTACATAGATGTCATATGACACTTCACAGACCTGATAGTTTTTTGAATAATATCAGTACATATTAATTACCTAATTTGCATAATTAATTAATTTTTTGCTGTTCCATGCCTGTTGCACTGATGTCTAAAGAACCACTCATTGAATTTTAATGACACTTTTAAAGAGTACTCATCATTACATTTCAATAAACCCAAGACAATACACCATATTATGCTTCTTAATCACCTAATTAACATAATTAATTAATACTGGTATCTCAAGTACTGATCATCACATTTGAATAAATGCTTTAGGACAATAGACAGCCTGATTAATTTTTGGTTAAAATCTGTTCATATTAATTCTCTAATTAGCATAATAATTAATAATTTTTTGGTTCTAATCACATTTCAATGAAACTTGGTACATAGATATTACATCACGCAGTCTTATTACTTTTACATTGTGCAGACCTTATTAGTTTTACACTTAAATCTGTTCATATTAGTTACCTTATTTGCATAAGCTTTTCCATCAATATCTCAAGTTCAAGTAATTTTTAATTAATTTTTAATGTGTCTCCAATACTCTCAGCACACGGGAGTTCTTTCTAAGCTTCTTTGATTAAATTTATGAGTAGGCTTCTACCTTAATCAGTTTAACAAATTCTGATTTTTTTTGTATATTCCTCTACAGCTCGTAGGAGACAAAGAAATGAAGAAATTCTGAGAAATTTCCGGCGACAGAAAAGATTCAGCTGTAGTACTACTGCGTCATCAAAATGTGAGCGGCTTAGAACAACTCAAAGCAAAGTGTGAATAAATCTTGAGTATTAGCAAGTGCAAACCAAGAATGGTCTGAACTTACAGATCAATTAATAATAATTTATATTGGCACATGCATGTTATTGTTTACCCATGAGCCTTTACATTTTTATAACATGTGTTGTTATCATCACTTTGGACTCAACTTTCACTTTAATTACTGTAGTCAAGGCCATGTATTACAACTGACTTGTGGTTTCTTGTCTGTTAGCACATGTACTATATGTAAATTATTGGTTTTCTATGGTATATGTGCTTTTAATAATACAAATGCAGTATTTGTTTCTGAGCCTGTCAAAAAAACAAACCTGCACAATTATTTTTAAAAAGATCTGCGAGGTCAGATTAAATATAGCGGCAAACATAAATTGTGTACAAGCTGTTGCAGGATAAATAAGACTACAACATTTTCTTTTTAGCAATAATTTATTTATACATGTAATGAAAAAAAATAATAGTAGATGACAACACTGCATTATTAAATAAACAAAACTCACCACCAAGTACGTTGGGTGGACACTATTTTTAATGACATTTCAAAAGACACACAGGTCTAAAAAATAGGACGGACCAAACTTGTATGTCACGATAAATGAGAATAAAATCTACAATTTCTTGTATATTCATTTTCAGATAATTCTGTCTTTATTATTCACAACCATTCTTGTTATGTACAATATTTTGTACCACAAAATCTATCACGTATAGTAAACAAGGATTTTTCTTCCAATTCACCTCATCTCAGCTTGTCTGACGTATGAATGTCCAGGCACAAAGTACTTCTGAGAGGATTTGAGTGTCAATAAAATCGGTTGATGCAGCTCTTCGTAGTAATCAGCTGCACTTGGAAATGGATTCATGACCACAGTTTTCATGGGTAAATCAATCTTGGGTGTAAAGCCGTACATTCCGTCATATTCTATCCTTTTACCTGGGTACAACGATGGTAGTTTGAATTCTACAATGAAATTATACATACAATATGAATGTATGTGGTGCTGTGACCATTAAGGTGAATTAATATGGTACAACATACAGATAAAAATAGTTATTTTGACCACATAAGAGGTGAAGCAAACAATCTAGATTTTCTTGCAGCTTTTTGCAAGCCAAAACTATCAAATTTAAAAAACATTTCTGGCTGAAAAATGTTAAGGTTTATTGTATTGCTATGCCAAACAGTGGATCACTTCATTAGTCCCCCCAGAGTCTGAATCAAGTATGTATGGTTTATAATCTTACCGATAGCAGCGAGTGATGTTTCCCTATGAGGGCGACATTTACTCGTGTGGGTTTCCCCCAAACGCACCAGACTGGGTTTACTGCGAAATAAGAAAAAAAAAAGTGTTTTAGTGGACAAGATATATTGATGATACAATGTTCCCTCTGAAACAAATAGGGCTTTCACTCTTGGCTGAAAGTGGAATATAATTATTTGAGAATTTAATACAAAAACAATTATAAGTTGTCAGACAGAGATAAGACCTTGACCATGCATGCAGAAATTCAAAAGAAATATACACTACTTCGGGGTATCAAATCACCATAAAATCCTATTGCAAAAAAGATTGATGCAAGTTTAGCAATGAACCAGATATAGGTTAAAAATATCTATCACTTGTGCAATTGATCAGTGGTAGTGGCCAATCAGCAACAGTTATTTTAATCACATGGTGCTTTACAAAATAAGATGCCAGTCAGCTCAAGAATGCCATGCTGTTGAGAGAAGTTCATGACATCTCGATAAGTTACCTTTCAACGTCACCTCTATTACGATTGTATGCAAATAAGAAAGAAATCATTTAACATTACTGTTATGCATAGAATAATGGCATATTTGATACAATCTTAGCACAAACATTTCTGAAAATCAAATTTTGAAACATCCAAAAACAAAACAATGCTACGATTGCTTCACAGTTATGTTATCAGAATTTTAAGAGGTGCAACATGGCTTCTTTTGTTTTATGTTTGTACCGAGAATATATGTATTAATATTATTCAAATATTTTCCATCCGTGCAGTATAGGAAGGTGGATACAAATGTGCAATAATAATGCATGCTGGGTACGCAGGGGTCACATCAGGTCAAACACTAGGAATGTTTTTTTACATCAACCCACTCAGTGCACATTGCCATAAAAATGGTACCTGGCAGCAGGTATTATTGTAGCTATCTTTGCTCTTTTTTCTTGATTTTCACTCTTCCTTCGCTGTTGTAATTCCTTCTCCCTCACTCTTTAAATTTTCATAAAATAAATGTACAATATTATCAACACTATATAATGTGTGTATATATAACTATAAAAAAAAAAAAGATGCAAGGGAAAGTTCTCTGATGTATAACAGTGCCCTCATTGTTGAAAACTTTGGTAATTTTGTTTTTATCAAACTGAACATCTGATCATGCGTACTCTTAAGAAACATATAATTAATTTCAAGTCTAATATAAAATATATTCCACCATATGACATCAGCATGTCAAAATGATTTTATTTTGTTAGTGAGCTGTTATTAAAAAGTATAAAATAAATAAAACAACTAAAATACCTTCTGATCTCCTCGAAAAGTTCCCTTTGCACATAATAAGATAAATGAAATGTCTACATTAGTTGCGAGTTCAGGGCATTCTCAATTTGTCAATTGTTTTGATATTATTTATAAGATTCCAAGACTAACACAACGTTCTATTTACGGAACCTAACCAGGTTGTTGAAATATTTAACCAAGCATTTATATTTAACTAAAACTTTATTCAAAACTTTAACATTCTCTTGATGGGACATAAGACAAGACACAATTTGAAGTTTGTAGTCTACACAAAATACTCTCGAGGCAAATATAATATGGTAAATATAACCACTGTCAATCATGAAATATCAAGTGATGCTGGGGGGGGGGGGGTTCTTGGTATGCAACACTGAAGGTAGCCGGGTATCATTAAAATAAATGATCAGATGTTACTGACATTTTACAACATGCTTTTAAACTGTTGCTTACAAAACCCAGATAAAAATACATCGTCATTGACTTTTCACACAAACACAGGTCAAACATCCATAAAAATTGTAATGTTGAGCCTTTTACCATTGGTCATGTCTCACAATATGTAGTTACATAATGAGTACTTTATTATAGCTGGAATTAATTTTCGCTGAAAAGACATTTTGGGTGTTTTGTATGGAATTTATTTTCACTGATTTTTGACGAGTTGAATGTAAAATATAGGAAAAATGGTATATTCGCTGGATTTTATTTTTACTGAATCATTTCTTCATTCCAAGCGAAAATAAAGTATTTTACAGTACAGTTGTATTATTGTTTAGAACTCTTCGAGAATTCTGATATTTACTATTCATTTAAAATGGGTTTCTTTTCACCAAAAATGTTTATTCATCATTATTTTCATTGCTATCAAATATCCAGGTTAGCACTTCAAAGATATAGTATGTTGACAGGCCATGTACTCTTTCATGTCATAAAGATGTCTTTATCAAGTTTAAAATTACTTCAAATAATTATAACCAATGTTATTACTCCATCTATAAACCCCTAATACCTTACAATAATATGAAGAAAAAAACACACTGCAATTAAAAAAATAAAAAAATTCATATAAACTATATAAGAGTTCAAGATTGAGTTACTTTTGCACTTAAAATGAAAATCAAACAATTTATATGCACACATATTTAGTATGTACCTGGATGACTGGAATCTGTTGATAATCTCTCTTTGTGGAAAGCAAGACATGATTAGATTATGAATGTGAGGAAACACTTAGAAGGAGATGTAGTTGATTGCACAGTTAATATGTAATTGAAAGATACATAGAACTCAGGCTATCATTATTTCAATAACTCAAGCATATTGTGGTACTACCATGGTGCATCACACTTGCATGAACAATACAGCAATTAGATCCCTACTTACATGTATCAAATTCTGACTTACATCCTGAGAGCTCGACCCGAGCTCGTCCCCAAAACAGCGTTATAATTAACGATAGCTGCCTCGTAGGAGTAACTATAAGTTAATTATGACTGTTGAAGATCTATTACTGAAATGCATCATGGGATTACCACCATATGAGTTTTAGCTAGAAGCTTTATTAAACCAAATGTAATATAGCGCCACCACTAGCCAAACTTCTTAAAATCTTTTGGTTTTTTTATGGAATCCTTTTGTTTTTATAAGCATCAGAAATAGATGATAGCGGACAACCAACACCTATTAAATGAATGCACAGTATAAGAACATACCACATGAATAATCAAAGGTGCACAGATAGATGCAATTATAAAATAAAAACACCGTCAAATCACAGCAAAGCAATCATTGTGGTTTTCTAACATGCTCTTTAATGAATACCTGTCTTCAAAGACGGAATCTGAGCAGACAAGTTGATTCATATCATCCCTTGAATAAAACGGTTGCAATGAGTGGGTGACAAGAAATGAGAAAGAAAGCAGTTAAATTAAAATTTGGTATTCTTATAGCATCCATTTATTTTGATTTCATTATTTTGAATAGCATTTGCAAAATAGCATTTTGTTCACTGTTGTTTATGTGTGCTTCGATTTAAGGAGTGACCTATAACAGCAGAGGTATCAAAGACTTATGTATATCAATAATAACACAAAAATAGTAGCTGTAAAAATAAATGGTAGCCCATTGGCCATATTGGATCAGATCACAAAATGTCAAGTAAAAAACATTTAACAAAATGTCAAGATCTATCCAGGCAAACCATGAACAGTGTCACGACTGAAAATAAAAAAAAACAAGGTCATGCCACAATAACATTACAGAGAAAATTCTGCAAATGATCTATTAAATATCCATAAAGCTGTTAGATTAAGAATATGAATATTCATTAATGCAAATTTGTGCTTAAGAATTAATTTCAAAAGAAGTGATTATTTAAACTTACTGTTTGATCTTTGGCAAGACTAGGACGGTGTTTCTCCTCTCAAGTTCTTCTTTTTCTGATTTGCTGACAGACACTGTACCAGATCTCATCTTTTCCAGTTGTTTTTCTAATTGCATTTCAGCAAAGTAGTTGATAGCTTCAATAGGTTTTGCGTTATCAATAGTTGACTGATCTGGTGGTGCCTCAAATGTTACTGTAATTACAAGAATGAAATCAATAAAATAAAGATGTTTTTTTTTTCTCCATCTTCAATAGTCTACAGTGATTTGGTAATTTTATTCTCACCCAAATAAAATAGAAATGTTTTCCTGCAGACTTCTGTAATATTTTTTGAAGTGCCATTATATCATTAAGTGTTATGTTATTTACAGCTGAAAATCAGATTTTTTGCATGATTTTTTGTTATAAATGAAATAAAAAAAGTTTTATTTTAAGTTAATGTTTTTTGTGACACACAGTTCTGTAAGCATGAAAAAGTCCAGCAATTGAAATTATTGAATTCTTTGAGAAATTCCACATTAGGAGTTACTATGACAACCTGAGACTGCACCCCAAATGAGCACAGTACATTTTGATGAAAGTACTTGGAGGTGAGAGAAAAAAATTACAAAGATTACATACCTGTTAAAGGTTTAGTTTGTGATGGAGGTCTGGGTGATATCTTGTCAGTATCGCCACCATCGATAGACCCTTTGTCACTGTTATCACTGTCTTCACCATCCTAAGAAACAAATCAATTGATAAGTTTTTCAAATAACATGGCCATCTCCTCCGCAAACCAATCAGGGAGAATCTTGATAACCCTTTGAGTGGCAAATTTTGGTCCCGCTTAAATTTGGGTAAATTTGTTCATAGTTTCTGTAATTAAACCTTAATTCTGAGCCAAACAAACAAAATGTAACATTGCTTTTAGTTTTTGATTAAAACGAGCAGCCTCTCGGCTGAGATACATGTAGCTCCTCTGTTAGCAATGCACATTTCACTTAAATATATCGTCACAAAACTCAACAAGTCTGAGAGAGGTCCACCTGTAGTACCTTTATGCATAATATCATAGCAATCAGGCTTGTAGTTTTCAAGAAGTCATCAAAAAGTAAAGAGTTTGACAAAGACAGTGATGGACAAAGTCGACAGCGGAGCTACAAAATTTGACATTTTTGCAACATTTCAACTATTTTAAAGAAGGTAAATCTGGCACTCAAAGGGTTAATTTGATAGCGTCATTCATTAATTAGTTTTTATTGACTGATTTATGCCGACAGATAGACAGACATAGTGTACCGTACATATTCCTTTGCATAAAGTATCACAAATACATTTTATAATGGCAATAAAAACGATATAATTATTAAAATCTGACTTACCTTTTTGAGTATACCTCTAGAATTTGATGGTGATGCCTGTTTAACTCTACTGGATGGTGCTTTAGATATCTTTGCAGACACTTTGCCTTTTTTTAGTAACTCTATAGTTCTACTAATATGACTCTATAGTAAACATGACAATTATAGTATTCATGATGGGCCGAGAGAGAAACTCGACAACACAGTTTTGTTTTGTTTCAGAAACATGTTAATTTGTTACGTTCACAATTATTTAATTACATGTGTGTTATATAATCCTTAAGCTATGCATTTAAAAAAAAATCCAAAAAAGGCAAAATGGAAATATAAAATAATATTTCCCAAACAAATCGGATTTTTTTTCATAGTGTCCAAAAAAATTTTCCTATTTGGCAAATCATTTGAAAAAAAAATGTGTTGCCCTAGTTTAAATTGAGTAAAATACAAAGTATGTTAATAGTATACACAAAAATAACATGTTTCCAAATAGGTTTGTGCTAAACAAATTTTCTGATACAAAACCAGTGCATGTTCTAAATATTGTACAATGTATGTGTCATGTTAGCTCTGTGGATGGTAATACACATATTGTGTCCATATGATATGTGACAAATAGTATAATTAGTTTTCAAAACAAAATCAATCAAAATAATGATGAATTTGATAAGTACCTTGAACATTTCCATCCATTTGTCTATCCAATTACTCGCCATGACTTTCAGTTCTTCTTTGCGATTAGTGGCATCGTCAAGACTCCACAGTTCCCATGAGTCCAACTCTTTGTAGAAAAAATTGTGAGGATCCTGAAGTCCAAAATGAAGAAACATATTGCGCACATAATTTCTGTTAAGATATAAACAGAAGAAATTAAAGAGAGGGTTGTGATGTGTTTGCGGCTGTAAGAGAATTATTAGTATATACATTTTATTTGACATCAGTGATTCTTTGCAAAAGGCCTGGATTGGGAAAGGTATATTCTAAATATACTATTTTTAATACTCTATATCCAAAATACGTTTTTTCTGATCATTATTTTTAACTGATTATAGAAAGCCTAGAATGTTAAAGGCCAAGGGGTCATTACAAATGTGTGCATTTGAATTAGACCCACATCCCATATCAAAGACGATCTCATGAGTAAAAATAGAAGCTATAACATTCTGATTACACATCAGAAAGAGTTATATTTGTAATTTGGGTTTCTTTTTCACTTCTTAGTTGAAAATTTTAATAAATGATTTTCAGTATTTCTATGAAATCTTATGTGTGAAAGTGTTGGACTGAACAACTGTAGCTAAAATCAAATAATTTAATTTTTAACTTCAATATCTTTTTCTATAGTTCAATTTAAAATACTGATTTCTCAGAGAAGAAATGTTAGGATACCCTTATTTCATTGAAATTGACCATTATCAAATATGTATAGCAAATTCTAATTGGGAAAATACCCATAAAAAACTGTGCTTGTCGAATCCCATGTGATGTTTTGACACCACTAACAAGGTAAACAGAAACTGACAGATTATTTTTAAAATGTTTAGGAGCAGTTTGCTTCTGTAGAAAAAGTTAACTTCCTAAGATATAGATTTAGACTGACCTGATTTCTTCATCTCCATCTAAGTATTGTGCCATCATTTCAATCACGGTGTCATCATTCTCTGCAGCCAGAGATCCCAATAGTCTTAAAGAATGCAGAATAAATGCTTTTTGGTCACTTTCACCAGCATTCGGCGGGTTACTAGTATTCAATAATCCAAGTATTGTGTCTGCAATATGTTTAGAATTAGACAGACCATCTTGGTTGTGAAGGGTCATTAACGCATCGGCTATTTGCGTCTTCGTTTCATAGTCTGCGATCTTCTCTAGTTTCAACAGATTGGCAGAGAAAGCCGTTGCCGTCCAGGGTTTTGGGAAGGTCTGTAAGGAAAATTAAAATTAACATTAGGCTGTAAAAATGTTATATGCATGCTGAATGAGAGAGTAATTTTTATTCTGGGACACAAAAAAAAACTATTTAAAAAAAAACTAAGTGGGACTTACGTTAGAGTCGGCATTTGGGAAAAACTTCTCAAACCATTCAGCACCTTTGAATTGAGAGATGAACCCTGGCAAAGGAGTCGGCAGACGTGGTGGGGATGGTGTGGGTTGAGGTGGAGGTGATGGGGATGGAAGGGGTGGTTTAGGCCTCGAGACAAACTTAGTGATGGTTTTTTTTATTTTAACCACTTTCGGTTTGGGTACTGCTTTGGGTTGTTCTTTCACTTCCTCCTTGGCAATCTCGGGAGAAGGTGTCGGGGGAGGTGTGGGCTCATCGTCAAAGTCATCAAATGATACCTCCTTTGGAGTGGGAGTACGCGTTATATCAATAGCTAGTTTAGAGAAGAGCCCAGATTTTGGCGTTGATTTGATGGATGCAGATTCCAGATCTGATTTTTCTTTCTCTTCTCTCTCCACCATGTCCTCTATCTTTTTAGCCTGTGGATGCAAACATACCTGTATTAATTCTGATCTTGAAATCACCATCACTGTGCATTTCCAAGAGCCGGTTCAGTTTAGTTTCAGGTTTCAGAGTTTTATTGATGACGGAAGACGATACAAGTATAATTTAGCTGGTATCATGGTCTGATCAGTCCCATAATTTAATTGCAACACTTTATTTGTGAGCTTTACTGAAATTTATCAAGGTATATGCAAAACGAAATGCAACTGCTACAGTACCGTCACCAAACAAACTCTAAAACTAAAGCAGGGACAATTCACAGCAGTGATGGATTAAGATTTACACTGTAAGAAAATAAAATATGAAAACATATGGTGCACCAATACACTGCAATTATAAATACAGATCAAAGACACACATAGTATTATAAAACACCAAACGACAAACAACAAAACAAAAATAAACACTAGTGCAATATACACAACAACGTGAATATAGGTAATGTACAATGTTGTTCTTTCAATGCAATGTTGGGTACAATGCATTCACCTCTTCCAGCCAGTAGATTTCATCCAGTAGAAGATAAATACAATCTGACATGAAAGTAGGAGTACTCATATAAAACTGGGAAAACTAAAACTATGAGAGTTTACAGAGGAGTCAAACCTAAGGGTACATAGACATAAAAGTAAGATTTCTATAAAACTGGGAAAACTAAAACAGGACTACGATAGTTTACAGAGAAGTAAAATCTCCAATACATGATGACCGGGAAAAAAGATGCTTTTAAAACAAACCGATGATGCTTTTTTTTTCATTTCCACTCAAATGAGACTGTGGCAATTTTTTTTTTATACTTTGTAAAGCTGGTTTTAACTATGACCAGAAATTAAATGAGACAAATATTTTTGAATCCACTATGACAAGCCACTATGTCACCAATATAAAGTTTTGAAGAAAAAACAAAACAATTCCTGGTCCCAACTATAAACAACACTAGGATAGATCTATATTAGTGGGTGGTGAGGGGAAAAAATACTCGCAATCTGAGTTTTTTTTTAGTTTAGAATGTGCAAAGTAAAGCTATGTATAAAAGCATCAGTGCAGTGATGAATAATGCTGGTGTTCAGTAAATATGATCAGTAAAGGCGAGGATAGAAAGTGAATATCAAAGAGCTATATTTCAGTGTAGATTATTTAACTTACTACACCAACAAGGCCACTACACTACTTTGTGAGTTATGGAGAAGCGAATAAAATGTTGATTCAAAATCACTGGTACATGTGATCTGACATGAGTGATGCCAACTTCTATTAATAAGTGAAATTTTACACTGTATTAATTGAGTTATGGTGTGAAAGTTCGCTGTGAATAACAGGGCTATATATCTGCCAACAATCTATGCAGGTAGCCAATGATTATTTGACTAAATGAGCATATTCAATTATATTGGTCCAAACATTAGCACTTTTACCTATTTGAATTTCATTTGAAGTCTTGTAAGCATTTCAAATTTCATTCCTCAAAACGCACATTGAGTAGTAAGATTAGTAAGTAACCAAACATTTACAGTGACTTAAGAGAATATTAAATGTATTTTACATGTGTTGTACAAGACGCAACGTGACGCGACGACAACCACCCTTTAAAGTATGTACACTGAAGTATAGCTGCATGTTACTTAGGTCAGGTGTAAAATATTGTGAGCATAAAGTTTTGGTGCAAGTATATAGCATTTGCATCTTTCATGAAAAAGGGATAGGGTAAAAAAAAAGATAGATTTCATACTTTAGGTGAAGTATTCTTGGGTGACGTTGCCTCTGTTCTATGTGATGAAGATGAAATCACCTCAAGCTCCTTTATAAAGTCACAGCCAGAAGAAAGTGAGAATAAATTGATAATAATAATAGTATGATAATACAGAAACTTTCATGAGAATAAAGATGCATTGATAGATATGAAAGATTAACAAATGTTTCCATTGTGTGTGTATATGAAAGATTAACAAATGTTTCCATTGTGTGTGTATATGAAAGATTAACAAATGTTTCCATTGTGTGTGTACATGAAACCCTCACTTCATACATGACTTTTTATAACATCATTACACTCTTTTATTAAAAATATAAAGTTCATAAAAATAAAATAAAACTATGATCACTTCACCTTCAAATATAACACAAATGAAGTTATATAAACTCAACTGTATTTTAGCATAAGTATGACAAAGATTTGGTTTCAGGGTAGAGGTGATATCCTTTTGTAATATGGATTAATACAACAATTCTTTGATAGCATAACAATGACCACAACAGAATATTAATTATTTGATATTATAAACAAAGATTTACATTGTAAAAAAAAGTTTTAATATGAATTTTTAAAAATAATTTTTCAAACACTTGAAATATATTACAGTTAGATACTCCAATAAATATTAAAATATGATATTTAACAGTACTATTATTAACCCTTTGTGTGTTTTCAACACATCTTTTGTCACCTTTCATGGAAAATAAGCCTGCATAATTATGTCCATTTGGTCCAACATAAATGAAAATTTTTCTAATTGTAGAAAAAATTATCAAAATTTGCAAAATGTTGCACCAAATCAAGGTGTGCCAAAAGATTAACTAAATTATTTTAAATGTGAAGATGTTTAAGCGGATTTAATTATTTTAAATGTGAAGATGTTTAAGATGAAGATAATTGATGATGATTCAAACAAATTTTCAACATTTCTTGTAACTTGGCATATAAATTGTGTACATTGTAGGTATGCTGGCTCAAATTCATTACTAATTGTATTTCATATTTAAACGAAAAAGTATAGATATCACCATGGCAACAATTGTCAACAGATTATAGCCATTATAAATGACAATATTTCAAACTGTTCATCTAAATAGTGTACAAGTTTAAATATATAATAAGAATTGAAAAGATAAATAAAAGTACCTCGTCATCATCACTCCAGATAAAAACACGCTGCAGTGTTCCCAAAAGATGAAAATAGAAATACCAGATGAATTAACAAGATAGGTCTTCCTGACGTACAAACCGATCTAGTCACTATCATGCATTACACTATGTAATATTGTGTTGTATGATAATGATACTCTTCATTAATCAATTAATTAATCTAAATTGGCAGCTAGAAACCTTTTTGTTTGCAAGCCTTATTTGCATATTACAGTGTTCTCTCAATAAATTTGCATACTAATTTGCATAAAACTTTGCATAATTATTGAAAACCAAAATTGCAATGATTACCATACTCATTATTAAAAGCCTCACATCACATGCACACGAAAAAAGGAAATAACCACTGTGGCAGTCAAGATAATGAATGTGATGGTGTCAGACCGGCACAGAGGTAAAACAAAGCACAGTGACGATACCACCACCATTTTGGTATCCAGGGAGAACACTGAAACAATATCAGTTTAACATAATATACTTTGTTACATTGATGTACATTTTGTCTTGACAAAATAAGATTTGTTACAGTAAGTATCGAAATGGAAGGCAAGAAAAATGTTTCAAATAGAGATATTTATTGACTTGCCAATCAGATTTCTGATACGGGACTTGTATTATTCTACTTATATCATTTTGATGTTAGTTCCAAAATACACAAGACATTGTAATCTTAATGCAAACAAGGGTTGCAGTGTATCCATCTAACCAATGCACTCTGCGACACCACATTTGTAAACTAGCTTTACAATTTTACCATGCGACATTTTAATGACAATAATTAATTTCTTTGCATGCGTTAACAATGATATATTTGGTTGACATTTTTAAAATCATGGCTTACAAACACAATAATAGTGACCATGCATTATTTGCAACGTATGTATACATCGATTAGCCACATATCAACATTCAATTGTTAGCTTTTTGTGACAGAATTGCCCAATACAAAGGACTCTTGCTATAAAGACGAGCTCTCTATGAAGTATGAAACATTGTTCAAAAGAAGGCCTCTAGTTATCATTGTCAAAAAATGAAAATGTGGGTAGGTTGAGTGATGGGATCATGCATGTTTTTATGTATAAGATTTGATATGGGCAATATAACAAAATTGGTTATTTTGGAGGAATATAATCAGTCTCACACCCATTATTCAGGCAAAGTCAGCAATGTTAGAAATAGAAACTCTGTATATTTACTACTTTAGTGAAGTTGCTAATCATGAACAGTGTTAGGGAATATTTAGTTTATATTCTTTATTTTTTACCAGAACCTTGTGTACTACACATAGAAATAGAGATGCAGGAACTTCAAAGAAGAGTGAGAGTAATAGGAGTATTGGGAAATATGTGTCTGCATGCGTTTGAATATTAGGTATTCTGGTCGTGACAATCAAGCAAATTATATACAGCATTACAATCTTATGATAAGTATGTCATAACTTATAGATGAACACTAATTAATAATTAAAACTTAAATATTTCACAATCAGAGTCACAGCAAACAAAAACACAGAAAGCAGATATAACATTAAATAAATATACTTGTCTTGTTTTGTTTTTAATAACTCAAGCACACATGCATTAGTATAGGTCAGTGTCACAAACCACTGCACAACAATTATATAAAGCAACGTTAACATCACGGTAACACCACCACATTAAAGTGAATACACAACACAACAAACAGGTTGGAGCAATGTGAGGTGAACATGCAAGAGGTGGTGTTGGGGGCAGGATTTTTCACCTCCGAGTCATAGTCATCCTCCTCCGCTGCCAATGCCGCCGCCAGCTCCTCTGCCTGTGTCATGTAACGTATGGAATGATCAGAGAAAACAAACAAAGACACCAATATTAGTATGTGTCAAATATTCCCTGGACAGATTAGATTAATAGAAATCACACAATGAATGATTAGTTTCCTGTGGAGATAAGTAAGTTGTTAAATCCAAGGGTTACGATTGAAGTGACAAATTTGTTTCTATTTAATAGTGATGTGTTCAACCAAAGAGCCGACTTATTTGTGAAGGTTGCTATCAGTCCAACCGTAGTGATGGTGCAACAATAAGAATATTTTCCGTTCACTACGAGGTCCCCCATTATATGTGAAATCGAACATAAAAACAGGACAAAGAAAGGTCATAGCGTAGTAGTGGCATCAAAACTTAGCATAAATATCTGTTTTTATCGAATCATAAAAACAGATATTTTCTGGAGTTATTTTCATGCTTTATGTGCTATACACATTTATTAATGGGCAATTTTTGATGAAGTAAGGGTATCTCAATGCCATGTTCTCTGAAAAGATTGAGATTTCAACATTGAACAATTAAAAAAAAAATCAAGTTCAAAATCCAAACATTTGATTTTTGCAGCAGAAGTTGGGTCTGCACCATTCACGCCTAACGCAAGATCTCATAGAAGTACTAAAAAGTGTCTATAAGGAGATGTGAATTTGAGATGAACATTGTGGATTGGTTAATGGCAAGCTAAAAGTGACCAAAGGATATAAAAAAACTTCTGATCTAGTTCATATATTTTTTTTTTTCTTTATTTTTTTTATATACTGACCGGAAAATGAACAAAGTTTTAAAACTGGTCAATACTGATGCCAATTCTAATCAGACTCTGAAGAATACGAATTAGGTTATGTAGTAAAACAGCATAAAGCACCATCACCATAGCTGATCAGCATAGTGAAAGGTGTGAGCATTTGGTCACACATATGTTAGGAACGGCACCCTGTGATGTGAATCAGCACAGTGAAAGGTGTGAGCATTTGGTCACACTTATGTTAGGAACGGCACCCTGTGATGTGAATTTATTTAGACATTAGTGGTTAGTAGGACTCTTTCCCCTTGGAGGGAAATAATGCTTTCTGGTAGCTGGTTTACAAAGACCTTTTATTTTACTAACCCCCTTCAATTTAGTTTCAGTTTGATTTCTACTACATTGATGTCTTCTTTGTGTTCTTCTGGACTGTTTGCAGGATACGCAGGATAAAAAATAAAATAAAACACAAGACAAGACAAGACACGACACGACACAAAACACAATGTTGTCATTAATTGAGGTAGGTGTAGGAGTTTTGTGGTAGTGTGAGACAGAATCATATAATATGTGTGATGCCAGCAAATATGTATTTTATAATGTATTTTCATGGGCAGACCTGTTTTGTTGAAGAAATTATATTGCAGTATTAGAATTGTAAATACAGGAATTGTCAGAACCATCAGCAAGATTATAATATTTCAAACATTTTATTCTAATCTATGTACAGTTTCTGACTACACAATCTTCAGAGCTGCTGTAAAAACACACTGATTGTGATAGATATGTTTTGTCAAAAGAGATGCAAGGCATAATATTGAAAAGGGCAATCACAACATTGCCAGGGCAGCAGCACATCTGGGACTGGGACTGTTTTGTTGCTGTCCAAGATTTGTCATGTGACAATGCCTAAAGTTGATACATGTTTAACATTGCAAACAATTCAGAGTCAAGTATCTCTCACAATCAGTAGATTAACAGTATTAAAAACACTTAGCACTCGAGCATGATCCAGAATACACTTCTAAATAAATAGATAATAATGTATAATATTTACACGAGGTGCAAGTGGTAATTACATTGGTATAATTATAGCACTGAAAATCTAGAAGACTCACCCTTTTTCTGGCATTGATTTCAGCAACCTGATCTTCACTCAGTGCCGGGGGTCTCCACGTATCTGCTTTCATTTTACTGGTTTGGTCGAGAGGCCAGAGAAGTCGGATAAGTACGGAATTGGGAATGAATCCTGATGGGTTGACAGGAAGTGGACGTTTCCTGGTAACCTTTGCTCCGTCCTCATCCTCCACCTCTTCCTCTTCTAGTTTAGTGTTTTTAGGGTTGGGAAAGAAGCCCATTGGAGAAAATTCTCTGAAAGATGGCTCTCCTGCAAATGAATCATTTTCACAAAACTGTTTAATTTAATTTCAAGTTTTGAATCTTCATATAAAAAAAGTTTTAACTGAAAATGTCATTTTTTTGGGTACTTATATGACAATTGAATGGTCAGTATTTATCTGTTTCATTTTGAACAAATGCATGTTTCAGTTCTACACTTTGGAACTAAATCTCTTGGACTGCAAGATAACTAAACATGTATAAGATTATAATGTTGGCAAAATATGAAGCAAAATGGCTGCTAGTTGGCCATCTTGGATGGGGTCATGACATAAAGCAATTTTCATATATGTCAAACAATAAATTGCATCTGTACCAAGTTTGAAAACAATTTTAAAGTTAGTTTTTGCGGTATCGAAATAGAAACAAAAATAATCAGAATAAAGTATTCAAGATTTCAAACAAATCCTGAAAAATGATGGATTTACCTTTGAGTGAGTCAACAGGCATTATTAATATTCAAAGTTTGAACAGAATTAGTCTACACAACCTAGAAATACTATTATTTTGGATTAAATATGAGCACCAGTTGGTCATTTCGAACCTGTACATGTATACCATAAAGTATCAACTATGTACCAAGCTTGTGAAAAAAAGGTCTGTATACTGGAGAGAATATGTGCCAAACAAACAAACAAATGGACAGAATTCAATCCAAAGCTAATAATATGGTAAGTTTGTGCAAGTAAAGTATATATTCGCCAAAAGCTTGATTATACAAGTGTTGTTTGTTAGGACACAAATTTGAAACAATCCATCTACTATGGGTGTGCCATAACCATTTTGTTCCATGTATGCTTTATTAAACAGACAGAAGCTATAAAGGCTTTAAACTTTTTACCACCAGACAAGAGCCCAAACTTTTCTTATATTCTTCAAAATTTCGAGAAATGAACCCTAATTTTGAAGCTAACAGATAACCCTAATTTTGAAGCTAACAGATAAAATTTGAGTCAATTTTCAGTTTTGATTAAAAAAAACAGGACTATTTTGTGAAATGTTGATGAAAATAAGGAACTGGTAGTGAAAAGGTTAACCTTTTTAACACCCAAGTCAATTTTGTCACCTTGTACAAAATAAAAGTCAAAACAGTTTTTTCAACAATTTTGAACACGACACCTGTAGAAGGCAATGGAATACAATGTTTAACTGATCTAAGATTAACACAAAAAAGCCAAATGTTTCACTAACAACCAAATGATGGCGTTGAAAAGTTAAAACTGAGATGCTCAAGCTGGATGTTCAGAAATCAACGTAATATTAATCCATACCTGGTTCATCCGAGACATCCATAAATGCATTGGGATTAAAATAATCATCTTTTGGAATCTGAAAATAAAAACACCATCATTAGGTCATGTGATATGCAAATTACTGAATCAGATGTTATATATCCAATAGAAAAGTAGCCGAGCATGATGGGTACATGCAGTCAATAAACTGACTAGAAGATTATCAAATTATGACAAATTATAAAAAAAAAAAATTGCAAGAATAACGAGACTAAAAAATACTTACAAATATTTGCTTAGGTTTGGGAAACAATTCAAGGTATTTTTTGAAAGCTTCTTCCTTGACTTTTGGTGGTGGTTTGGGTTTCTTTTTCAGTGGGAACAGTCCATCTCTTATCTGTTTCAATTCGTCATCTCGATTGGCAAGCAGTGCAAACTCCTGTCAAGATAATGGTGTCAATGATGAATCAATATTCAATATTCAATATTGGACATTGTTTTGTTTTTTATGCTGTTTTATTCACTCACATGTTAAAAACTATTGAGTATGAAAAATACTTGGGAGATACGGATATGAATTGAAGGAGTTGATAGGCAGAATAGTCATAGTACACAGTAATTTATTTTTCATTCCGTTGAAATACAACATGAAATCATCAGTATCACCATCAGATGCACATTCTATATAAATTAGGTAACTATATTTACACAACAAAAATTATTGTATTAGCAATTACTTTTTCTTTGACTTTCTTTTCTCTGGTCAGTTCTTCATTCTCTTCGTCAGTCAGCACATCAACAAAATGATCAAACCTGAGAAGGAAAAATGGATAATTAAGTGAATGAACAAGAAACACGAGTAAAAGAAAAAGCTGTTGATATCTTTCATCCTTATGATAAGCACCTGGATTCATTCAAACAGGCTTTATTTCTTTTTGTACATTTCTCATTGTACCAGGAACACTCAGTTATTTCCAGTGACAGACACCCCCCCCCCCCCATTTTTTAAAATTCAGCATGACCTCATTATAATTTGGGTACATGAGAAAATGACATGTACCGATAATCTTCAATTTGGTCCCAACCTCTGAGAATATTTTGTATTTATTCTTGGATACAAGTCACCCAAGCCATGCCATGTCATTGAATAAATACAATGGATTTCTACGGACAACATTCCATAATAATACATACTTGTAAAGAGACGAATGAGCATTTTTCAATCTTTTGACATCCTCTCTGTTCATGTCATGTAAGAGATCCCCGTCATAGGGTAAAGGATCTTCGCTTTCAACTTCAGGAAAACGCATAGATACCATTTTCAACATGTAGGACCTGGGCATGTCTAGAGAATATACAAAAACAAAAGTGATGTCGTAATTAGTAAAATAGTAAATAGTGTTATTCCTTACACATTCATTTGCTAGACTGTGAACCACTGTTCAAGACGGTGGTCACACAATTTCAGCCAAACTCTGAACAGTTCCATAAGCACTACTTCAATACTGCATATGACTTAAAAATGTTCTAGATAGCAATCTAGGTTGGTTAACACTTATGTTCAAGCACCCAGTCACTTTAATAATAAGTTTGATAAGATGTGTTCAGGGTATAAATCAGAATTAGGCAGAGGGTTCTCCGAACCCGCCTATTCACATAGTTCATACCCACAATAGACTCCGGTCAGTCAAAATGACTATTTTGAACTGTAGCATTAATCAGCGATTCTGCCAATGACGGAGAGATAGAATCTAGGTCAGGAAAGCCCCATGACCCCAAGATTCTTTTCCCTTACATCACGAACCACGTGACCGAAGCCATATGGCGCGCCATTACGGCTGGCTATCACTCTGGTTCTTTCTCTCGCATCGAGGACTTAAACCAATGCTACGGAAAGAATGGG